TTTCCAACTACTTGTTGACTAAGGAATGGCAGGAGAACCTACGATCTGTGCTCAGTGTTTGTAGACTCGCTATTTGTACCCTAAGGATCAGCACTCACAGCATTTGCCAGGTCATTCACACAGGCTTGCAGAGCAGGGAAAAGTTTGATTTGTCTAGTGAGTATGTTTCTAGCTAAGGAAGGGGATACTGTGCCGTCATGGTTCAGCTCCCATGCTAATTAGTCCCATGTTTTTCACACCCGCTGTTTTATTTTCATATTTGTGCTGGACATTTTGCCTGGAATTTCACTGTTGAAATTGCCCCAAAGAATAGGACTGAAGTGTTGTCTCATGTTGACTCATGTTCTCAAGCACAAGGAGGCCATCTATGTATGTGCCCGACAGAGAAAATACTATTTTAGATAGCTTCATTCAGCGTGACAGCACTGTCAGTGTTCCTGGATGAACATCATCATACAAGTTTCCCCAATATCCGAAAGTGGAGCATTCTTCTTGGTATGGTTTGGTGGGTTATTGTGGGGGGGGGGGGCGCCTGGGAATCCTCCCCGAAAAAGCTATATAAACTAATGGAAATAGCATTACCAGACCCCAGAAATAACCTACCACAGCAAACTAGATGAGAACATTGTACTTCAGATAGCAGGGGAAATGTGACATCCAGAAAGAGGAAATTTTGCCAAAAGTTGAGGCTACTCCCCCAAATGTTATGAAAAAGCAGTTAAATTGTAGTTTTGTGAGATGGCAGTTGATTAAAAAGTGCCATTATCAAAACTGTTGTGAGGCTGAAAGCCAAAGAATGTACAGGCATATTACTTGGGGGTTAGGAAAATGTATATTTGCAGCCAGTGTTGCATAAAATTATTTGTAAGACATATTCACTAGGATATTTTAAATAGGAAACACACATAAAAGGCGGCTACATACTGGTGAGCTAACAAAATGTTGCAACAAAAAGCTCATGAACCATGCCCTGGGTGCCAGTAGAGCTGTAGCTCAGTATTCACTGATTCACAATTAGCTCCCATTTTCCATAAAGCTCAAAACTGGCTTTATCTTGAAGGAAAAAAAATGTTTCCTTCATGCTTCCTTCATGTCCTGAATGGGGCTATCCATGGACATGGGCTATGTGCATCTGGGGGGGTTCTTCCATGGGTTCTTCCATGGTGGAGTGCTAGTGTTCAGCACATGACTGGTTCGTTAATTCTGTTAATTCTTGGATATAATGCTCGGAAACTAGAATTCTAATGCAGAGATTTTTTTTGTTGTTGTTGACATTTGACATTGTAGCGAAGTGATGACGATGACAGAAGCAGTGACAGGAAAGATGGGGCTCTTGAGGAACAAATAGAGAGACTCCAGGAAAGAGTGGAATCTGCCCAGAGTGAGCAAAAGAACCTCTTCCTTGTCATATTTCAGGTATGACAACCCCCCCGAGGCCGAGGCCTGAGTGATTTCCCTTAGGTAGTAGGTGTG